TAGTGTAATACTAATCATCCACTCGACATTTTAACAACAACAACAACAAAACCGAGGAAAACTACTTAAATACAATATGCATATCACTTCGGTAAACAGAAGAAGAAATTATAGCAGTCTACAAAGCGGCTGTCCTCACTAACACAAAGAAAAGTTCAAAACTCGCCTGGCAGTATTTACAAATACAGTTTTTTTACTTTTAGACGTGAGGTTATCGGTATACGGCGAAAAACGACAGAAAACTAAGCTCGTTTGTTTACAATAATTTATGCAACTTTATATTCAACAACGACTCAAGTCTTATTGTTTGAAATTTATCTAATTTCTCCCAGTATGGTTCCAAATCAGGTAATCAGGGAGACTTTAAAATGAAGATATAAGCTTAACTTCTAAGCTTATCTCGCCGAAGCAACTACATCATTTTTATGGAAAACGCGAAAGTTTCTATGTAACAAAGTCGCTTACCACAATTTNTCCTCTAAACACAAGAAACACGTTTGATTTCTCTTGTTGATCACCTGATGAAATCATGTGACTAGTACTTCTTGGACGGCTGCACATCTCGACGCGCGAAGTTCTGTAGTCTTCTGAGTAAATTTTTCGGGTATTCCAGCTCTTTTCTATAGCCGTCGTTTGCTCTGCCTCACAGCATTGTTCGGTATTATTTCATCTCCTTTCTCTAGCCCTCAGTCGATCTAACTCACAGCATTGTTCAGTACTATCTCACCTCCCTTCTAGCCCTGGCCCGCTCTTTCGCGATCTTCTTCGCCACTTCGTTGGCTGTTAATCCTTGCTCTCTACCGTTATCTTTCACGTTCTGCTTCAACTAAACCCTATCTTGAAAACGTTAGATCAACCCCTCCGGTCGTTTGTTAACATAACAAATAGAAATAAGTTTCTTTTTTTTTTTCCCTGACTTTTCTGGAAACTCCCGGCCAGAACAGATAGCATTCCATAGCTTTCCTGTGAGGGATACCTCGAGACGCCCCTTCCCCTCCCCCAGAGTCTGTACGGACGGCGTTCGCTCGCTCGCTCGCTCGTACGCTGACGTCATAACCAAATTTTCTCGACTTGATGAGTTACCAATATTAATTACCCATGGTGCTTCGCTGGCGCGCTTCGCGCGCTGAAGCTCCGCTATCAATACTACAGGAACTAATTGTAAAAACTAAGATTAACAACCTTTTCTCCCGATAACAGTATACATGATAAA